ATTTTTCCAGAAGACAAGATTTGGACGGTGGATTGGTAGAGTCCAAGCAAAATTTGGTGCAAAAATATCAAGCCTTAAAACGAAATTCAATGCCTATTTCGGAAAAATTGGGAAAATTGCAGCTCGTTTTACCAAAGTACTGACCTCAGCGTTAAGTGTTGCTGGAGCAGGTATGTGTAAACTTTGTCGCTGACCAGTAGGTATCGTATCATCGCCTTTAGACTGAAATGCATCATGGGTAAATGCATACGTTTTGTAGAAGGATGGCAATATCATGTATCATATTGTGTGGAGTGTCGTCGTTATTTTTATGATGCTCAATCAAAAAATATTGGGCATTTATAGCCTTTAAACGGCTCTAAAAAACGTTTAGAACCATGATCCTTTTAGGACTGGTACGAGTGACTGAAAATGCTGTTGGCTATTGCCCTTCAAAGAATCTTTTATTGCTTTGAATTTTCAGCCTACTTTGCGTACAAGTCAATCAATGATATGATTGGAGAATGTAGACGAATCCGCGAGACAGCAGAGTCTGCGTATAACCAGGCTAAAGAAGCAGTAAACAAGATCAAACAAACTCTTTCTGACATAAGAGAACACAGGGATGAAATGGCAAAGGTGAAAAGTTTGTACGACCATGTCTTCATTCATCTGTTAATTTGCATCCGAATATTCATTCAATCGATCCATATGGTTATTGAATATCCATTCATTCATTCATCCATCCATCCATTTCTTCGTCTATCCATCCACTTTTTTCATTTATATATTCATTTATWATTTTTTAATCCATTCGTCCATCCAGTTACTTACTTATTCATTTATACATCCTATTCAGGCCTGGGGATTCATGCGAGGTAATCTCACCCAGGAAGAGTTCCTCGAATCGGTCGAAGAGACAATGGTTACAATGCAGAATGCAGCCAATCAAAGTGAACCAATGAAAGCTGTAGCACRAGGAATAGGATCCTTTTTAAATGTAATCAAGACGTCAGAAAACCATAACACGACTTACAACGCAAGTAGGGATCTCTACAACGTGCTGATCAAGTAAGCTTGTTTAGATTAACGATTGATATCTTTCTGATAATGTTACATACAAGAGGGTTGCTYKGTGGAGGGTGCGGTGGTTTCCCTCCCCTCCTTTGGATGACTTTTTAACYTTTTCCCTCTGTTTTAAGACATCAAGAATGTGATCCTGTACGCAGTCTAMTTAWATCCAGAACAACAACAAMAAWMAGCCATTCTTATATTACGAATTTAGGACAACTTCCAAATATAAAAAAATATTACAAGAAGTGAGAGAATTAAAGATTTTGTGTCTGTAAAATATCTGTAATGTASTAATAGTGTTAAGCGTTCTATCCCTGCGTTAAATTTGTTATATCAGTGTTGCGCGCTTCCTGTTTTCTCTCGCGTTACACTGCAATAGGAATGCAATAAACGTAGTATTATTTTTTACATAATATTATTATTATTATTAGACGATTTGAGTATTATTTTTCTCCGCTTACTCGACAACTCTCTCTTTGAAGTAAGGCCTTAGCCTAGTAATGAGCACCTTAAGAAAGAAAGAAGTCTATATTCTACAGTAATATCGATTAACTTTATATGCTATTTCTTCTCTTTCAGAGTGCCATTTGCTTACGTCTGCTATACAAACAAGATCAACATCATCAATAACGTGGTCAAGTACTGCADAGACGGTTCATCGACACTCGAACAGATCATAGTCGAAGAAAAGAACCGTTTTGATGAATCTGTACCAGGTAGTGATCCTTCAAGCCCTAAGCGATGCAGAGATGATCTTGGTATTGAGTACTTGCCTGATGAAAACATCAAGAAGACCTGGCTGGGAACTGCACAACAAAACCGCTACCATCCAATATGCTACATGAAYGACGAAAATAAACGGGAACGAATTTGCAATAAATACAAGTTCTCYAATTGGTCCGCATCSAAAATAGCACAAWMGTATGGCTGGRATGAAGACAAGGTYCAAGAAATCATAGATTTGTTACCAGAAGGGCTGTCCGAGAGRGAACARAACMTTSTGTGCAATMWGAGAAAACAAGCCAACCCGAAGWCATACGARGAAATAAGACAAMTCTTCTTGAATTTTRATCTTGATCGCACCATAGAACAGCTAAAAGCAGTGAAATGTAATGACGAAGGAAAGTACTAGTAAGTATGCGCTGCAATATAGAATTACGAAAAACGCAAGTACAATCAGAAGCGCAAGCACAAGTAGTGCATATGACAAATCAGCACTCCTGATTTTCCAGGTTTATGATATCTTAGAATTAATATTTTAGCAAACAAAACTGAAAATACAACATCTGAACAGATCTCAAACGGCTAGTACTTCCAAATCATGGCGCTTCGACTCGACTGTGTATAAACAGTTTATCTTTCATTAACTTATTAATACGTAGTACGTTTTCAATGTATATTTTGTCTTTTTTCAGTTGTGTTCCATTTGAAAAAACTGTTGAAAACGCCTTCAAAGAAACGCAAATTGAACTTCCACAATTGCCGGAAGAGGACTGAATTGGAAAACGGACTGGAATGCATGACGATAAAAGATGYCTGCTGATAATAATTCAACGATAATTGAAGCATGAAGCAGCCTCAACACCGAATAAAATATTAACAGTAAAAACTCGGATTGTGAATTGATGTTCAAAATATACTTTAAAAAACGTGTTTTATATGAACAGTTTGTTTGTGAAAGCAAAGAAGCTGTGGTATCGAGATAAAGCTGGAATATTATGTTCTGAATATTATTATTGCTAGGGAAACAACTGGGCCGGGAAGAGGACATCAAATTTATTTTAGGAGTGCGTGATTTTCATGGAGAAAAGCATTGATAGGAAAGTTTTGCAAACGATCAGGAAGAGTCCCTCTTTCTTTAAAATAATTTTGTTCCTGGCAAACAACAAAGGTCAAAAAAGGCTTAAGTTTAATATTTTTTTTATTAAGGAAATTCTCATTTTCCTGGCAAACATTCTCAGAAAGTATTCCTTGACTGGAGAGTTCTATATTCCTGAATTTCTAGCTGGCAAGCAGTTGAGACTTACAGCTGGCTAGGACATAACAACAGATATATTTCTCCCAGGAATCCGTCGGCTCCTCCTTGGCTCCTGAACGATTGTCTTTGAGTTTCGATTGAATCATTTTAATTAAAAGATGTCAAAGGATTATAATATAAATAGAGGATTTACTAGAAGATTTCTGAGAATGTAGAATCAGTTTCCTACCTGATATTGGCTGATAATGTGAAGTCATCGTCTTCTAAACTCAGACAAATCTCCTCCAAAAGTCCCTACAGAAGTACTTGCTGTAAAATCAAAAATGGCGCTTTCTTCTCGAATCCTCTACGTCACTTATTTCACCCCAGGTCTCCCCTGCTCGCTTTTCAATATAATACATGATATTCTAAAAAAATTGAAACAAAGAATATTGCTCGAGACAATTCTTTAGAGGAAAAAGCGTAAGAAAAGAATTGAATATAGAGATTTGTTTCTAAGTTCCGAGGTAAACTAGAAAATACACAGGGAACCCATGCCACAAAAAGGCCTGGGTTCYGCGAGGTTCCGCTCGGTGACTACTGGGAATGTTTTGATTCTTGGGCAGGAATTTTGCGGGTCTGAGCGAAGGTCTCAGCAAAAAGTTCCTTTTTTTGCGCAATCGACACAATAATAAGCTACACTTTGAACACATCAACTTGTTTTAATACTTCTACTATCCATAGAAAGCGTTCTCAACATGGCGCAATGYGTGACGAAAGTGGAACTTCATATTTCTTGTCGAGGCCTTCTCGACAAGGACACGATGTCAAAATCAGACCCGATAGCTGTTGTATTTACTCAGGATAAGGGTGGAAAGTGGTATGAGGTAAGGGAAAATAGCAAGGAAATAAATATCGTTAAGAAAGTTTGATTTATAGTAGGAATTCGTCGAAACGTTTTTTCAACAAAAAGGTATGAGGTTCGTACCTTTACAGCTGGTTTCGACAAAMAATTGGAATCTTCATGTCTTTTAAAAACAATTGAGGATCTTACGGATTAATAAGTATTAGAAACATTCAGTCATCTTCTAAAATGCTAGATATAAGCCTGTTCATGTCAAAGTCTAATGCATGCAAGCATTCGTATGAATGTTATCATTGGCATAATATAAGTTAGTACCTCTAACTGCTCTAAGCTTAAGAACTGATCAGGTGTTAAACAATAAATTTACATGTAAGCTTATCATAATTTTATTACTTTTCTAGAAAGAAGAACCAATAGTATGTCTGCCTTCACATGAGTTTTGAATCAAATTAATATGTAATGTTAATATATTCAGTTTGCCAGAACTGAAAGAGTCAAGAATTCATTGAATCCTGACTTCTCCCAAGCCATAACAATAGACTATTACTTTGAAATGGTKCAAAAACTGAAATTTTCTGTTTTCGATGTGGATAATGCGACTAAGAAGCTTGACGATGATGATTTCCTTGGCGAAATGGAATGYACACTTGGCCAGGTAAGGCAAGCAATGTGTTCAATGTATGATCATAGTAAACGTGTTAGACATGCACAGTGGTTTTCCTGGGCAAGTCATTAATTTCCCTGGAAAATACATTATTCTGGTGGTRAAACCAGCAAACCCACTAGAAACATTTTGCACATTCTCCTGAAGAATTTTACTGGAACTCCATGGATTTAGTTTGGAATTCTTCTGGAATACTGTACGTTCTGTTTACTGCTAGTACATGAAGTGTACTGAAGTTTGTCATAGTAGTCTGGAGTTTTTTTTGTTTTGTTTTGTTTTTTTCATTTTTTTTGCTGTCACTACAAACCAATAAACAAAGAGTTGAACTACGTGCTTATGGAATCAGTCTAGAGATGTTGATGCGTGGATGACTAGACTATACTTTTAAAAGTTAATACACTACATAGTATCCCGTAGTATCCATCATAAAGGAAATGGTTGTTTGATTACCAGTTTATTATTATAGATTGTGTCAAAAAGGTCATTTTCAAAGCATCTTGAGATCAAACAGAGACAAGTTGGTACAATAACAGTGAGTGAATTACAAATCTATTACACACTCATGTGTTGATGAAAATGTTTGATGGTAACCATGGAAATACCATTAATTTTATTCTAGGTTTATGCAGAAGAGATCAAAGGTGGTAACGAAATAGTCAAGCTTACTCTAAGAGCTACAAACCTTGATAAAAAGGTATAATCAACTGTATATTTAAAAAATGCACTAAAGTATCGCAAGGAGCCTAATCCTTCTGCTTTATCTCACAAAGCTTGAACATTGTATTGCTCTTTTAAATGTGATTGGTTGAATTTCTAGGACTTTCTTGGCAAATCTGACCCATTTGTAGAGATTTCAAAAGTAAAAACYGATGAAGGATTACTGATGGTTCATCGTACAGAGGTAAATGGGTTTCTGAATTGTATTTATTTTGTGTCCAAAACAGTTTGATATTTGGTCTTATTTATTGTGTGTTTTAGGTTGTGAAAAACAACTTAAATCCACATTGGAAATCATTTGAAATTCCTGTCAGCACCCTCTGCAGTGGAGACTATGATGGAGCTATAAAAGTAAGTATTTCATATTGAAGTCAAACAAACATTTTACTGATAATTGCAATGATGTTTTATATAGTGAAGTATAAGCTGCCACATTTATTATAGGCCAGGGGATGATAATTTGAATGTTTATGAAGTATTTTAACTTACATGATTGTATGGGAATTAGTCATTCTTAGTTAACTGATATAATTATAATAATTCAATAAATGATTTGCTTGCAGTAACATGTATAATTTGACTCATTTAATCATTCATCTTTTCATCCATTTATTTTTCTATTTATCCTTCCTTTCATCATTTCACTTACATATTAAAAATCATAAAGATAAATCTATCAATTTCTCTTTCTTTCTTCCATTCATTTATTTATCCATTTTCCCATCCATTCACAATCAGTTCTTTCAAATAAAGAACTAACTTCTTATTTAGATTGCTGTTTATGACTATGATGAGGGGGATGCCAATGATTTGATTGGATTTTTTGACACAAGTCTAAGACAACTGCTTGATACACACTCCAGTGGGGTATGTAAGAATTAATAATTAGTAATTTCTAATACTTCTCTAGATGAGCTGTTTTGATTATGACTCTGATGGCACCCATGATTTTATCGGCTTTACAACYACTAGCCTCAGGCAATTGATAGATATGGCAAGGACAGGGGTAGGTAGATTTGCTATCAAACTCTTTCGTGGTGAGTTGTWGTAATGTTTTATAGCAGGGCGGGGCAGAYGCATGGGAAGGAATGGGTAAGGGGTAAGGTGGGTTGTTTTTTCCTGCTTTTCTTCTGTTTTCTAATTAAGTTTGTCAGCATCAATGAATATTTTTATTCTTTACAGAAAGGCCTTGACTTAATCAACCCCAAAAAGCAGTCGAAGAAGAAATATGTCAACTCAGGTGTTCTGTACGTGAGTCACTGTGAGGTGAGATTGCTTTCCAACAATTATTWAAGTTATCAATTTCATTCTTAAAAGGTGGATTTTTTTCCTTTTTTAGATATCTCACTACTACTCATTTTTGGACTACGTGATGGGAGGCTGTCAAATCAACTTTACTGTAAGTATAGAAATATAAAATAGTTATTTTTATCATAGAATTATCTATTGCTACGCTCACTCGTGAGAGATCTTTTCAACACTCGAAGATAAAATCTCCGCGTTCCCATGTAATATCCTCGTCTATATCTTTACATGTACAGATATATTATGATGCCAAGAATATTRTTTGAGCACTTCAATCAGCGTATGTTCTGAGTACATATTTATATGAAACATTTGGTATAAAGTAAGAGCAGGTTTTGTTTGACTAATTCAAAGTCAAGAATCAAAACATGTATATGACACTTCACTGTCACAGCAGTGGAATGGTCACATCTATGGTCTTGCAAGTCATATATGAAATCTGAAATCTCTATATCAAAGTTTTTGTTTTCTAGGTTGGTATTGATTTTACAGGTTCAAATGGCGATCCAAGTCATCCGCAGTCTTTACATTACATGAACCCATACGAACCCAATGAATACCTYAAAGCACTTACAGCAGTCGGTGAGGTCTGTCAGGACTATGACACGTGAGTATAATATATTATAATACATTATATTGACGATAGTAACATTGTCGTCTTTGGGCTGCCTGTGTTAAAGAGAGGCTCAAAGGAGACTGTAAAATTAATATGCAAATTACATATACTACATGTAGGTTKTATCGCAGGTAAATAGTTTAAAAGATAGGAATACAGATATCACCTACGAGGAAGAAAGGATAGAGGTAGATACTAGGTACATTAAACATTGAACATTGAACACGTGCAGTTGTAATAAAAAAAATGCGGCTAAGTCAATGACAATGGCGTAGCATGGTCATTTTTAGTAAGTGCGCACGACTCCGAATGATTCAAAAACTGCCCTTGTACTCGTAACAACGACATTGGTGAAGTCTTTATGGTTATTTTTAAATGGATTTTCGTTGTGAATCAAACCAACATCATTGGAAAAAAACTAATCATGATAAATTGGAAAATTGCGCAMCGCAAACTACGTTTGTATTATCATAAAAGATGCTACGCTCTGAATGACAACATGATCCAACCAATAATTACAATATATTTGTGGCTGACACATTACAAACTATTATTTATTGGAAAAAAGTCTCACATTTTGTTATATTTTCACCCAGAGACAARCTGTTCCCTGCTTTTGGCTTCGGTGCCCAAGTTCCACCAAATATGAGGGTAAATAACGCGTTTCTACATGTAAACATTGGTCTTTATTGTTTATTAAGTGGTATTTAAATGAGTTTCAAAAGTTTTAATGTACTTAAATTGATTTTTTCCAGGTCTCCCACCAATTTGCTATAAATTTTCAAGATACAAACCCATACTGTCAAGGTAGGTTTTAGGTCTGGAGTAATCCTTCATTCTTTCCGGTATTGTATTCCTGCATTTTGATCCATTATCCCTATCGGTTTCAGGTTCCATTTTTCTCTCTCTTTTTAGACCAACGTTAATCGAAAAAGCTGTATACACTCGAGCCTCTATTAAGCGGTCACCTTTAGAAAAGAACAGGTGACCGTTTAATAGAGGTTGACCGTTTAATAGAGGTTGACCGTTTAATAGAGGTTGATCGTTTAATAGAGGTTGACCGTTTAATAGAGGTTGACCGTTTAATAGAGGTCATGAGAATCGACTTATGGGGAACTCATGAGTGACCGCTTAATGGCATTACTTAAATTTATTCGTCTGGACTCATTTAGAGCGCTTACTCGTGCTACATTGCAGTCACGAATGAAAGCAATTTTATTTGTTTTCTTGAAGGAATAACTGGTGTCGTCGCAGCATATCAGGCGTGTATTAGTCAAGTCAGACTATACGGACCTACGAATGCTTCACCGATAATAAGACATGTGACTCAGTTTGCTTATCGCGCTGGTCAAGAAGGAAATGCCTCGGTATGTATAKATCGAATATAATTCGAATTTAAACATTTTTTTTCTTGGATGGCTATATGACAATTTTTTTCCGCATCGCCAGCAATACTTCATTCTTCTTCTCTTAACGGACGGTGTCCTCTCCGACATGGAAGAGACAAAGATGGCGATAGTGCGAGCATCGAAAGTCCCAATGTCCATCATTATCGTTGGTGTTGGACCAGCAGACTTCACCGACATGAATGAGCTTGATGCAGACGATGGCTTGTAAGTTAATGAAATCATCAGAAAAACCCAGCTCCAGTGCATGTCACTTTGTCAACATTGTGCATTTCTTTATCAATAATTATTTATCAATAATTAATAATTATTTATCAATAATTAATAATTATTTATCAATAATTAATAATTATTTATCAATAATTAATAATTATTTATCAATAATTGTTGGGCTACATCATACTATACATTTACATTAACAATCTATGCATTTTTCTACATTAATATAAAGCAGTTAAAATGTATAAAATATTTTTTTGTAGATTACGTGCTGGAACAGAAATCGCTGAACGCGATATCGTACAGTTTGTGCCTTTCAGAGACTTTAAAGGAGTAAGTTTATTGCTGTACGAACAGAATAAATAAGCCTTTTGCTTTCTCTATTCCCAAGACAAGTTCCCGTTGCCATCTTGAAAAGTAGCCACGCCTTTGCATCAAAGCGAGATAGCRGTTAAGACTGCAATGATTGGTACCTTTTCCATGTCCCATGATAATTGCTCAGAGGTACCTACTATAAATTGTGGTCTCGGTTTGATACAATAGTTAGAGATGTTTTTAAACAAGATGGCGTCGGAAAAGTTGTACATTTGCAACGTCAACTCTAGAGTTAACGAAGGATAATTCTGAAACAGCTATTATAAAGTAACATTAGAGGCTTTTTGATAATTTGCATGTAATTCTCTAAATTTGTTTATTTTTCAGCAATCTCCCGTTGTTTTGGCACAACACGTCCTGGCTGAAGTACCAAAGCAAGTCCAATCATATTTTAACAAACGAAAAATACCGCCAATGAATCCACAAGGACCGGAKCCTCCATCACTGGCAGGCCTTTAAGAACTRTTATTCTCTGTCAAACCGTCAAGAATTGTAGCTATACCAATATTCGTAACTTAAATACCGCTGTTAGCTTTGACAGCAGATTCACAAGTTCWTAGTTAACAAATTTGCTTAGAAATATTTCATGTAAAAAATCATTAAATCAACTTTTCCAAGAGAAATGTCTGGATTTTACCGAAATTTCAGTGCATCTTTTTCCACAACCAACTTTCTCTCATTTCAATAATATCCGCAGAAAGTGTAAATATGTTRTTACAGTCTTTTTGTCGGTTGCCATGATTCATGTTCGTTTAAACTTTTGGTTGCCAGGGTAAAAGCTGAAATGGACGAACAGATAAGGTCTAACACTTTTAGAAATGCATAATCATGGAATCCGATCACCAACCAAGATAYGCCCTATTTTAATGCAGTCTTCCGTAGTACGGATAGCCACTTTTAAGTACTTTATAAATRCAGAATGTACTTCGGGCGAAACTTTTCATTTCCAGTTTCTGTGGTTATGGAGGGCGAACTGTCGATAAATAAATATTTTTTTTCTGGTTTGATGACTACAAGGAAGATTTAGTGGTGATTTGAGCTGGAATGGTGAACTCTGATGGAAAACACTACCTAGTTGTGATGCAACGGTTTTCAAGCAGTGGTGGAGAACCCGTTTCATCCTTAGCAGTGAGCATTGCAATATGGATTAACTGTTCCTCCACAAGGCCGCACATAAACTGCCGCAGCAGAAACACAAGTAACATACATAGTACAGTCTTCCGGATGCCGATAATCACCAACCGCTTTACCAATGCAGAATGTGCTTTGGTCAAAACCTTGTGGTTGGGCTGGAGTTCCTATGGTTGTAGGTGGAGAAGTTGTAGGTGGAGAAGTTGTAGGTGGAGAAGTTGTAGGTGGAGAAGTTGTAGGTGGAGAAGTTGTCGTTGGAGTTCCTGTGGTTGTAGGTGGAGCAGTTGTCGGTGGATTCGTTGGTGCTGGTTGGAACTCAGCCACAGTGACATAAACRTTGTTTTCTTGTCTTTTAAAAAGCAGTGGAACTGTGTTTCGTGTTTCTCTACTTAATTTACACAAACTGAAGGCCGTATCGTAGGATAYACTTTTACAAGAGYCAGAATCATCTTCCAAGCACGTTAGAAGACARGTTCCCAACCTTTCTGCATAAAACGAGCGATAATGATGCTCTAARCTATAGCCTTGAACAGAAAATGTTTTCGAAGAAGGTGATTTCCGACAAAGGACGGCTGAAATGCTCATGAAAAGAGTTGCAGCCAAGACTATGCAGACATGTCCTTTCATTACTGTTAAAGGCAAAAAACAAGTATCAAAAGTCAAGACTTGATATTAACAGACACAAGATCTTACTATACTCAAACAATTCAACTTTCCTTAGTGAAGTTAGCAATTTATGAAGGACAAAAAACGTGTCAAGTTACAGCAGTGGATTCAATTGTTACCTGGATAGCATTATATCTCGAGAGATGATATCTTGAGATTTACAATCAGAGAAATCTTGATGCATATAGTTTTTTTTTCTAGTTAACTATGCTGTTACACATTAATTCAGACTACTTTGTCTGGGATGAAGATTCTATTAGTTCAACTCGTCTTTGTAGTTATGATCACCATTTATAAAACAAAAAGTTGTTTGGCTGCTGTCTACATGAAAAAGTTATTATCCTTGAAATGATGAGTAGAATTTTCACTACAAATTTTCCGAGTAGAATTAATGAACTAAGACGAGAATAATTCTCTCTTTTATAAATTCTAACGATTTAAATATTTAATACTCACAAGAAACTAATAACGATATATGAATTTCAAAGTACACTTTAAATCGGGAGGAAATATAGATAAACTGTGTAACAAACCTGACGTTTTACTATATAAACACCCTCCATATGTCAATATTACTATCGATTACATAAATCGTTGCATCGCGACTTCCAAGTTCGCAAAGAAATCGTTGGGATTTGGGATTTTCTGCGACAAATCAATCATGTTTTTACGAATTGCTCCGCCCCGAAAATCGCAGGAACTTCAGTTTGAAGCACGAGATGCAACGATTCGCTGTGACGACCAAAGCAAACTGGTAAGGTCGGGTTTTTTTTCCATAAAATTTGGCTTAAAGTAAATCATACCTGTCACGTCCGAGAGCCAAGGACTGACGATACGATTAGTCTGTATGATATCTCAAAACAAATACATCTGCAGACCTACAACCCTGCCGTGTTTCCAATAATAAATCGATTCACGCAGATCGGCGTCAAACAAGGTCCGTACTGAAAAGAATAAACAAACCTACATTTTTTTGAWTTGAGCCAAAAAATAAAAACAAAAAATTCATTGMTTATGAGAGRAAWACGTTTTCCATAAAACTRCGCGATTTTTATACATYAGTTTTTCTAGTTAATATAAAATCTATGAATGAAATCCTTTTTTGCAGACTACTTGCTGGGAGAGAAGTCGATGAATGCTATCGTACAGTTGGGGACTTTGCGCCTTTATAAATACTTTATAAAGTGATCTGAGGAATCATTCTAGAACAGCTATTATAAAATAAGAATAGAGGGCTTTGGATAATTTGCATCTAATTCTACTATATTTGTTTATTTTTTTCCCGTTGCACTGGTAAAACACGTTGTGGCTGAAGTAGTGAATCAAGTGCAATCATTTCTTTAAGGAAATACAGCACCGGCGCCAATGAATCCTCAAGAATCCGGGCCTCCATAAGTCACAGCCTTTTAAGAAACAATTCGTTGTTAACCTACGGATTCAGTTATCATTTATCAATTTTTAATTACCAAAGTTTGCAATCTAATACTGCTGTGAGCTTTGACAGCAGATTCGTAAATAATAATCTTGCATAAAATGTTAATCAATCGATTTTTCCAAAGATGTTTTACTGTTTAAACCTAGTACAACAGTTTTTATTGGTTCTCATGCATGGTCACAGGTTCATTTTTGGTTGCCAAGCATTCAGTAACCGTGATCCCTTGCAGAAACCTATTTGAAATAAACACTCTTATTTACATACAAATAACAATACTGAAGATTAATCATCAGGAGGTCTGTGGGGTCGCTCTCAGATGATGATGATGTTGATAATGATGACCAAAATAGAATCAATATGAATAGAATAAGACCTTGTCAAAGTGCCACTGGGTGCAGGCTTCATATTTCAGAGAAAATTTCCAAGTGAGCGTAAAAGCACAAGTGATGCAATAATTTTTAAAAATAACGCAACACTTTTAAAGTTCAAAGACATGTTTCGACTTTCATAAAGCCATCTTCAGTTTGAATATGATTACATTTTACAATGATAAGATGTAATCAAAAGACGTAAAATGTAAACACATTCAAACTGAAGATGGCTTTATGAAAGTCGAAACATGTCTTTGAAATTTAAAAGTGTTGTGTAGTATTTTTAAAAATCAGAGAAAATTGGATTTAAAAAAAATCGTGCTAATTTGATGATGCCAAGGGATGTGCTCATGGATTAATCAAATTTCCCGATTGTTTAATGTCACATTATTGCTCTGTTGTAGAAAATCCTTTTTTTTTTTTTATCAAAAAATAAATCTTTCACAGTTTGGAAGGGGTATTCATTATTGACACGGTTTAAATTTGATAGAGCAAGTCAGATGACTTCATCAAATTAGAATGATGTTTTGTTAACTGCAATATTCTCTGAAATTTAAATCCTACATCCATTGCCCACCTAATAGACAGTTCATCACGTTTACGGAAAACGGCTAACGGCAGAGCTGAACCAATGACCTAAGAATTTCGTGCATGACATTGTGCTTTTGGTAGTCATTGTAAAGAACGACTTTTCACGATTATGGCACTCAAAATAACCACTTTCACGTTGAAACTGCGACGGTAAACCCCCCAAAAAAGCAGGTTACGTGATCTTTTCTGCCGTTTGCCGCGAACGTCATGCTTAAGCTCTCTACTGATTATTTTGTTCTACTGACGCTATTTTTCAATCATAAGCACTTTAAGGTATCCGTGTGCGATTCTAGATATAATCTCCATCACACGATCATGCTGCACAAAATGTTTTGTCTTTCGTGCTGACATTTAGAGGTGCCCAAAATGTTAAAGGTGCAAAATGTTAAAGTAGCCCGTTTTTTCTTGAGTAAAGCTAACATTTTCAGCAGTGAGCATTGCAGTACGGATTAACTGTTCCTCCACAAGACCTGACATAAACTTGAACATCAGAAACACAAGTCTGTAGCCCGTTTTCTTGAGTAAAGCTAGCATTTTCAGCAGTGAGCATTGCAGTATGGATTAACGGTTCCTCCACAAGGCCGCACATAAACTACCGCAGCAGAAACACAAGTAACATACATAGTACAGTCTTCCGGATGCCGATAATCACCAACCGCTTTACCAATGCAGAATGTGCTTTGGTCAAAACCTTGTGGTTGGGCTGGAGTTCCTATGGTTGTAGGTGGAGAAGTTGTAGGTGGAGAAGTTGTAGGTGGAGAAGTTGTAGGTGGAGAAGTTGTCGTTGGAGTTCCTGTGGTTGTAGGTGGAGCAGTTGTCGGTGGATTCGTTGGTGCTGGTTGGAACTCAGCCACAGTGACATAAACGTTGTTTTCTTGTCTTTTAAAAAGCAGTGGAACTGTGTTTCGTGTTTCTCTACTTAATTTACACAAACTGAAGGCCGTATCGTAGGATA